AAAGTCTACTCTCCAAGCAGTGGTTAGGGTTTTGTTTTATTTTTGGCGTGTTTTTAGACTTTTATCGGGGTTTCTTTTTTGCACTGGAATTGTTCTTTCACTGGGTTGGGTGAAAGAAAATTCCAGTGCAAAAAAGAAACCCCGATACAAAGCCTAAAAACGCGTTAAAAATACCCAAAACCCTAATCGACCTAAAAGACCTACCGACCGACCAAATATCAAGACAATCCATCTATAAGCCTTCTTGAGCTATCGTGTTTATACACACACACACACACACACACACACACACACACACACACACACACACACACACACACACACACACACACGCACACAAACACAAACACACACACACACACACACATGCAGAGAGAGAGAGAGAAAACGAAACGAAAACATGATTCAAGAAGATTCGAACATTTTCGACAAATCTCCATCCTCCCTTTGCTGCACTTTGCTGCTTCATTTTGCTGCATGCTTTCCTACACGGTAGTAACCTTCCTTTGCCTCCAAGCTGGAGCACAAATGTCTCTTCCCATTCACATCTGTTATTGTTACGTACGTAGACAAGCTTTTCTCCACGCTAGAGCTGTGGCGGCAAGGACACGCTTAGCTGATCTTTAGCTGCCTGCTCGCAGTCTGAGCTTGCAGGGGTCTTCTAGGAGGCGCTGACACAACGGAGCGGGGTAGGTTTGGGCTGGGGAGCGTCGCGTCAGTCGCCGTGGAAAAGGTGCTTTTGTTGACGTGAAACCGGAGAGCCCTCCTTGTAGCACGCTTGGGGTGCTCCCGCTATACCAGCCCCGGAGCCAGACGTAGTCTACCGCGCGCACGCAGGGAGGTAGGGAGGTTTTGGTTCGGCACGGGAACCCGTGCAGTTTTACAGACTAGCTCGCTCCGGTTTGGACCTCACAGCCCTCGTGGAGTGTGGGGTCGACGATCAGGGGACACAGAAACCCGCCATTCTGGAACCAACTTCTCGTCTAGACGCTTGAGCGGTGCAGAGACCAACATAAAAACCAGAGAAGAAAATCTGAACGCTGGAATTATCCCCCAGACGCTTGTGTGTGCTACAAGCAATTTCTCATTTCGTGTAAACTTTAGCCAGTCCCGCTGCCAGACGGGCATTGTTCTGAATTTTCGACTCGGAGAGAGAAGGGGGCAACCATTCCGAGCTGAGGAAAGAACGGCAGCCCTTGTTGGAAGGCCTTACTTACATCACGTGTTTCAGATTTCGGATAGCGACCGTGCCCTTCTCCGGATATTAGCCGCCTTCGGCTTGATAGCCCTGCCTGACGCTTGACACGTCTGTAAAGGTATGTCAACTTTTCTTTTGAACGCACTATAGCAGCCTTGCAGGAGATACGAATCCACTAGATTTATAACATTGTACGTTAGTCTACTGCCACCGCTTTTTAAAAAGATTTTCTGGTGACGAGACCTAGCCGAACAAACATGGTTTTCAGTGGGCTGTCAGAAAGTGGTTTGTATGAGTCCGGCGGGAGTGCTTTTGTGGGTGGGTTTTAGGTAACCCCAGCTGTGACACAGACTCCCTCCGCGCTCTCAAGTGCACAGCGCGAGGATCGCGAGGAGTTTTCAAGGAAGCGTGATAGCAGATTTCAAAGAGACGATGCGTCTGTACGCTGCACGTGCAAAGTAGCACTGCTGTTGCCTATCACACTCACTTCTCGACGTTACCCACAAGCCTGGCTTCCTCTGGTGTCAGCGTTCCGACAGCACTATGTAGCAAGAACAGGTGTTCTGTGCTAACGTTGCACAGGCGTCGGGAAAAGGGGGGCATAGTTGGGCACAGAACGGGGACGTCGCCTGTTTCCAATCTAAATCGACTCCTTCATCTACCCATAATTTGGAATAACGTTTCACCTGCTGTTGACATTCTGTCTTCTTCAGTTACGGTACAAGCATTATCTGTGGACCAAAACCCGCCCCGGTGCCAGCTTCTAAAAATTCCGAACGCATACCTTGGCACACCGCGTTTGTACGGGCACACTCAACTATTATTTCAAACAAGGAGTTAAAGAGAACCTCCTTGCTACAAGTGTCCATTCCCCTTGCCTTTTTTCTCTCAGAATGACCGTGTCCTTGAGGTGACCTATGCATACACTGGGTGCGATCCAAGCTGACAAGAACAATGAACCCTTTATGAGCCCTCAGGCCTGTACGTTTTTTTATTGTTCGTCCGTTCGTGACGTGCCGACTCGCCTCGTTCTCGTACTAATTTCCTGTCCTCCCGGCTTTTCTCCCACAGCTGCCCGGAGCGGCGGGACACCCCCGGCCGGGAAACATGGAGATAAACACGGTCTTCAGATGGTGCTATTGTTGTTTGATAACTCTCGTCGGATATGGACTCGTCACGGGAGAACAAGAGCCTTTGGAAGGGATAGACGTTGGGAGAGTAAAAAGAACTGGCAAAAGTGCTTCGGTTTTGACAGGGTGAGTACTCGACAATAGTTGTTATATTTGCATTCTTCTAGGCAAGGTTGTTCTAGGCTACACCGTAAGTTGCCATCGTTAATTGCCTGTAGCCTACTCGTGCTAAAATTTTCCTAACTTTCTTTGTTTGTAACAGTATCATGTGTCCATCTATATCCACTGACCATGAAATATACGACCAATATCTTCTAGTACAGTCAGGTATTGTTTTAGGAGTAACAGAGCATGTGTTGGCGCTGTGTATTTCTTCAGGACAGGTAGAACTCTGGAAAGCACATTTGGTATAACGAGCAAGCACCAAGTTTGTTTGAAGTTGGGTGTCAGTACGTGACAAGAATGGTTATTTGTAGTGAGTCGGGGGAACTCCCAACCGGATAGGCCGAATCCCCCAGACGCCTGGAGCCTGGACAAACACACACAAGACCGGCAACTTAAACAATGGAGGGCGGCGTGTTACATAGCTCGATAGTCATAAATAATAGTATTGGTTACATAGAGGTTTGCTTTTCCCGTGACTTGAGAAAACTAGACTGCTCTGTACGTGCGTAAGTCCGAAGTAGGTTATGACTTTTTAATTAACTGTATAATGGTGCCAAAGTGACCCCTGCCCCAGGTCTTGTTATCGTCTGTTTACCGGATGGTATAGCGTGACATTAGGTAATCTCCTTGGTGGGCCTGGGGCACACCAGTTGTCATGGGAGCAGGTGACCTGTTGCCAGGGTAACCATAGATAACAAAGGTCTCTCCGAGTATTCGTGTATGATATACATCAGAGAATTGCCTTTTTATGTTTACCGAAGGAAACATATTGTTTTTGCTCAGTTTCTTCTTCTTCTTCTTCCGTTCCAAACACCTAAAAACATCAATATTTTTGTAGTTAGAGCCTAAATGAAAATGAAATTCAGCAAGCTGGTAGGTTGGTACATCAGACACTGAACTTTGTTCATTTTGGCCAACATAGAGGTAAACATATTGCATTTGCTTGCAAATGATACCTTTCTAGTTCTATTGTTTTTTAATTGTTGTAGAAAGGTCTACTCAAGTACATACTATTTATGTCGACACAGGAAAAGGTGGCCGGATCCAAATTAAAAAGATCTGATCGGGTGTCTTCACCCGTTTTCGCTTGTCAAGGAAAGGCCGTGCAGTGTTCCTGCGCTTGGCAAGCCGCAGCTGTGAAAGCTTGCCCCACTTGTCAGACATGGCTAGCCGGCTATAACTCGCTGACGACGCTGAGAAAGTCGTAGCAGCAACAACCCGCTCGTAGATTTTATCCATATGTGTGTGTTGCAACTCACAACAACACTGGGAAAGTCTGGCCCGGTCTTCTTTCGTTACCATCTAGTGGTTTCCAAGAGAGTCGGTCGTTTCTCAACTTCCAACACATGACATCCTTTGTTTACCAAACTAATCTTAGCATTCCTCGCAAATCGTCGACTTCTGCCACTGTCGATTATAAACAAGGAGATATCATTCTCTCTTATCTGGATGCCTGGGCTCGTAGCTAGCTGGCTTCGCTTCAACAAGGAAAGAAATCCAATTAAAAAGGTTCGAAAGCGTTTGCAAAGTCTGTGTAAACTTGTTGATTCTCGCGCATTTTGTTTACCAATTCCATTGGAGTGACCGTGCACACAAACTTTCTTTGTTTGCCACAATTTGTACGCGCCAGGGTCTGAGTGGGTGGCAAACACAAATGTTTAGATGGCTGGAAGACGGGGATGTACACACTCAGCCTGCGCAAAGATTTACACGTTCTCGTGGTGATGGGTGGTCGGTCGGACGGTGCCTGACTGAGAAACAAGACCGTCCTCGAGCCTTCGATGGATGAGAGATGGTGGCAATTTTGTCCCAAAACCTTCACTAGGCTTCCCTGTGTTCCTACGGGGTTACGAATGGTAGAATTCGGTAAAAAGGGAAATAGTTGGGTATGAGAGAGTCAGTGGGGGGGGGGTCGTCTCTTTTCCATCCTAACTAATGAACTCTTTAGTGACCAAACTCCCCTGGCTCCCAAATTGGCTAAATTTTACTAGTTTTGAACCAGCGGTGATAGTAGTCTGGTAGAGACTTTTAAACCTCCTTGAGACTACCAAAATCCCGTCACAAAAACACTTTGTGCTAAAAAAAAAAAATTCTGGGACATGAACACATCGGCTTGCTCTCGCGATAACTGAATTCACGAGTCGCAAATTGCTACGGAACGAGTGACTGATTGACTGACTGATTCCTCCCAGTCAATTAGAGAATATATACCTCGGGTCATCAGGGCCAATCTGTGCAAGATGGGCCACAAGTTACTAAACCAGCCTCCCGGAGAGGAGCGATGCTGCGTAGTTTATGTCTTGAGAAATTCTTGGTAATGATCAAATCTCGTAATGTAAACAGACAAACGTGTTAGAAGGGTTGTATGGTTTCCCTCAGGGACTCCAGGCCGCCTAATTACATCATAACATCCTCGTCCGTGTAGTTATTCAATTACGATCATTGATAACGATAGTAACAGCAGGTCACACAGATGACCACAAGAACCGTCAAGTATTGACTCTTTTATCATTCTTCTTTATTCATGATCAGCCCCAATTTCTAAGATTATTAGCAGTAACGTAGGTTGCAGTCTGTGAAGTTGACCGCCTTTCACTCTACACCATCAGACGACACTTTGGTCAGGAATTATTTCCCGCGTAAAAACGAACGTGACAGACATGGTTGAACTGCTGCCGTCCAAAGGCGGCCATTCCTCACCATCAAGGTCAAACATTTCCTAAACTAACAAAGTTACAACAGGAAGGCTCTAGACCTACTAAATTTTGCAGACGACAAGTCTTACATTACACACTTTCCTGGCAAGGGTCTTTGGTGGATAAATTTCATCTTGAAAGACGTCGAAATATGTTGTCCTTTTTATTAATTTCTTTGTAGTCTTGAGTTTCTCGTCACGTAAACAAATGAAACATCAAAGACGTGGTTTGTATCTACATTTTGCCCCCTGTCTAACATCTCATCGCACCACGGGAAAAACAGAAAAGGTCACAGCTGGCGAGCGTGGGGCTGATACAAAAACACTGATAGCAGGGCGTCGGGATTGCTCGTGACAACATTGTCAATCTTGGTGGGGTCTTGTGTGCATTGCATAATGCACAACTATCTCATTCCTGATGTAAAGCGCCTGTTTCTCCCTACCTAAGCAGAGGTTTGGGTTTTGGGGTTATTTTCAGCGTGTGTTTAGGGTTTTTTTATCGGAGTTTCTCTTTTGCACTGAATTGTTTGGGTTTGGTGGGGAAAAAAATTCAGTGCAAAAGGGAAACCCCGATAAAAAAGCCTAAAAACACGCCAAAAATAACCCCAAACCCAAACCTCTGCTTGGAGAGTAGCCTCTCCCGCCGTTTGACAAATGGAAGAGCCCTAAAGGTGCTGCTACTGCAGCGCATAGTGACAGGGCGTGAACCCGTCCGTCAACGTGCAAAGGGCGTGAACCTGCACCAGCAATTTTCTTCTTCGTACTTGTGAGGTAACATTTTAGCTGCACTACAAATCACCTTGATTGAACCAAATACCAACAGTGTAAGTAAGAGCCGTCCACGAACAACTTGGGAAGGATGTATTGTTCTCAAAATCATCAACAGTTGTGTCAAACTGCAGTGTTTCTAACCGTTGACGTTGGGAAAAAATTCACAACAAGGCCGAAGCTGAAACGTGTTGACCCAAGGCCTCTACGAGGAGTCGGGAGCGACAAACTGTTCTCTTAGCGCGGACCAATATTAAATCTCCAAGCAGATTTCTCTCGGTGGCAAAAAGACAGTACCAAATTGGCCAGGCAGTATCCATTAGCCAGAGAAGGTCCGCGGTCACCGTTGGTGGGGGTCAGGACAAAAAAAAAACGGTCATATATAAAAATGTAACGATCATTCCCCCACAACCTCTGCTTGGAGAGTACGGACCAACACCCCATGACATATCATCTGTTTATTTGGCCAATTTCTACTCTTTCCAGCCGCTTCCCGAAGCTTGGTAGAGGCAAACTGTTCTAGCTCTTATCGTGGTCCAACTCCCCTGGTATATCATCTGTCTATCTAGCTAATTTCTACTCTTTCCAGCCGCTTCCCGAAGCCTGGTAGAGACAAACTGTTCTCTTTATAGCGTGCTCCAACTCCCCTGGTATATCACTTGCTGGTTGGCCAGTTTGTACTCTTTCCAGCCTCCCCCCGAAGCCCGGTAGAGGCTGTCACTCACCCGTAGTAGACGTACAATACGTCAACAGGTGCCTTAGTTACCGAAACAGTCCCGCGGAGGAAATATCTGTAAAGCGAGGCGGAGTTGAGATGACTGACATAGAACAGCCTGAAAGAACAGGAAGAGACCGGTGTTGTCCCGGTGTGTTTAGTAAATACACCTTGCGGTGTCGGGGCTTGATTTAATTGACACCTTTTGTCGCTATTGTAGGAACGGGCACCGGACACCACTACATTATTACTCACGTCATGGTCAGGCAGGGGGTCAGTCATTGTAGAACTGGTGAAAGTGTAAACAACCTTGGATAGTAGACCTACCCTGGACATTTCTTATTTCTAGCTGTAAATTAAATATATAACTGTCACATGGTTAGATCTGCATTTATGCATTAGGCCACACCAATTTAATTTGTTGCTTCTCGGATCGCCCTGTCCAATTTTTTCTCATTTGCAAAAAAAAAAAATTCTAGGTTCTAAATTAACTGCAAAATGCTCAATGAAAGAGTCCTTTTCTTCCTAGTTGTTAAGTTTTTCAATGTAACAATGCAATTTTGTTTCATTAAAAGTGGCTCATATTGTAACATTTCAACTATCATGGGGTGCCTTGGCCTGTTTTTTTTTTGCCCTGTCGCTCCTGTTTTTTTTTCTAAAATAATCCGAGAAACAACAAAATAGATTGGTGTGGCCTTACAGATATAAAAACGTGTAGGTGGTAGAAGACGAGGCTACAAGGGTAATTGGTCAACGAAAGCTTATGACCCATCAACTTTAACG